ATAGTGCAGCAGAGGAAGCAAGTCATTCTGTTGCAGAGTAGGGGAATTTGATAAAAGGGGAATAACAGAGAAAGCTTATGAAAAGAGGTGTTGTTTGAATTGGACCTTGATAGGTTAGGTAAGTTCTGTGCATGTTCAGTGGGAGGGAAAAGCATTCTAGGCAGAGAATGGGCTGAGCAAAGGCACAGTGGTGTGAAAATGCATGTTTTGGGAAAGCTAGGAATTTAGTATAGCTAGTACAAAAGGTTCACGGAAGTGGAATGATTAGAAAGGTGGGTTTGGCCAGGTTATCTTGAGTCTATATTAACAGTTATGTAATTACTAATAAAGAAAAATTATTCAGTCCCTACTGTAAGCCACCATTTTAGAAAATACATAAGAAACATAATGCACCACAAGGTGACTAGCCATTCTAATTTGCCCAGGATTGGGCAGTTTCCTACAATGTGGGACTTTCAGTTTTAAAAACCTTGAAAGTCCCGGGAAGACTGAGATGTTGGTCACCATACTTACCATGAGAATAGTTCACAGAAATTTGAGCACAATATTCCATAGTATCTCTGAAAATATTGGCTGTGAATCCATCTGGTTGAATTAGATGAGAAAACTCATTCAATATCTTTATATTCTCTAATGTATTTCCCTGAAGTTTTTGGCATATGTGCCAGCAGTCATCTTCATGTCTACCTAAATAGAACTGTAGATACAATTTGTGACTATGTAAATAGAGGTTATGGAATGCAGGAAGTATTAAGATTTTTTTTTTAAGTGGGACAATTACTGTCTTGATCCCCTAAAAAAGACTTACCAGTTTAAGACTAATCCTCTATAACCCTATTTGTTTTTAAGATGAAATATGAAACTATTTTTATGTAACTCTTCATATTTCAAGCCCAAATTAGGCCAAAATAGGTACCTCTTATATTGTGACAAAGATTACAGAGTGATAAAGCATTTGTGTTTTGTGATCGTCTCAGGTGCTACACAACAGCAACATGGAAATGTTATATATGGCGACTGAGCACCTGAAATGTGGCAAGTATGACTGAAGAACTGAATTCTTAATTTTGATTAATTTACATTAACATATCGTCTCAGGTGCTACACAACAGCAACATGGAAATGTTATATATGGCGACTGAGCACTTGAAATGTGGCAAGTATGACTGAAGAACTGAATTCTTAATTTTGATTAATTTACATTAACATTTAAATAGCCACATGTGACTAGTGGCTACTGTGTTGGGCAGAATCTTCTCATAAACTTTTAGTTGAGCTGGAAATAGTGAAAATATTTTGTGAACATTTTAAAATTTCAGTTGCTGTAGACTCTAAATTAAAATGTACTTACTGATATGGGCACAATTTACTTATGAATAAATGTTTGAGCTGCTTAAATTAAGCCAGAGTACGGTATCTACCTTTGCTAACACAGTGGTCAATTCCAACACACCTTGTGAAGTTGGTAAAAACTAAACCTTTTATTTCCAACTCCAACTGAACTGAAGGTTCATTCACAAGTTTAATTCAAATACATAGTATTCATTGAAAAAATAGTGATTTCCCACTACAGTGTTTAAAGTTTATGTTTTTCAAATTTATGATGATGAATCCATGTAGGGGGCTATGGTCAGAAAAGATCTTTTGTTATATGTGTTAATTTAATCTTTAAAATATTGACTTTTCCTACATCTGTAATTTTCTGTTTCTTTGATCTCTCTCTTTTCCCTCTCTCCTCCTGCTGGTGTTTGCCTTTTTACCTCTCTATTTAAAATGATCAAATCTTTCCTACTTCCAATTTAAAGAAACATGTTCTAACTTTAGTGCGATAAACATTAGAGATAATAGTCTTATGTTTTTATTTGTTCTCTTTATCAGTAACTTTTGATTAGCTTTGATTTTGTATTTACAGAACAAAAGTTTTCAGAGCTATTTCATTAAGTTAAATGGATCAGAGTAGTAAGTCAAGAATAGGAATACTATCTGGTCTAAAAGAACATGCTAAGGTGGCTTAATTTTTTTTTTTAAAGCCAAAATGAGGTAGTCTATTTCAGTCCTTAGTCCATCCACTCACCTTTTTCTTCTCTTTTCTGTTATAGATGTCCCTATGAACTTTAGCCATATCTGTCTTTCTACCACTCAGTGGTATTACTTCTTAAATAAGAAAATCACCATCATGCAGAAACGCCAAACCAGAAAATACCATTGTTTATCAGATATGTTCATATATGGTGAGCACTTGGAGCTGTTCTAGATTGTCATAATGATATATTTAATTCCATTTATCATCTAAGAATCTTTTCCAGCATATATTATATGCTTCAAACACATAGAATCACCTCTCTTATGCCCCAAACAAACAAACGCAGTTAAACTAAGGGTAACAGGTTACCCTCTGGCCTTCCATTGTATTTGCTACTTGTTTATTTATTTAAATGAATATGGTAAAGCAAAATTTAAAAATATATATATATATATATATATATATATATTACAGCAATGTTAAGGTTAAGAAAATTCTATCCATTAACTTACTATTTTCTTTTTAAATGGTGAAAAACACCATTATTATTCAGTTTAAAAACAGAATACCTAAGTCTAGCATGAAAAACACAAATGTTCTGCATGAACATAATTTGAGAACTGCTGGTTCAGACTATTATATGTTAAACTACATTGTCAAGTTTCCATTAGATACTGTATCTAGGCAGATGTTTGCTCAGTTCCCAACTGTTGGAAATTTTTTTTAACAATAAAGCATAGATGGGAAAACAGGACTGGAGGAGGGGGCAGTCAAAATAATAAAACAAAATCTATCTGGATTCAGCTTGATTAATTGGTAAATATTTTAATACTCTTTTTTATTCATTAGCTTGGAAATACTTAGTTTGTCTGACAGGTCAAAGGTGACAGAAATATAACACCAGAAATATAATCCTTTTGGAAATCCTCCTTTTGGAAAAAGCCTTTCCAAGTGAGGGAAAGACTCTGTTTTCTTAAAGCAAAAATTACTGTATCCAGTTTTCCATACCTATATCCAGAAAAACAAAATCAGGGGTAAAAATTTTAAATACCAGTTATCTGCTTCTTTCCCAAAACAAATTTGAGTGTACATTATGAAAGGACAATCCTCCCGGTTCATTATGTGCCACTTTCCCTTTAACTCACCATGCTGCAACCCATGTGCTTCCTTGCAGCTCCTCAAACTGTGCTTTCTTGCCTCAGAGTTTTCACACATATGTCCTGCTCCTGGAAGGCTCTTCTCACACTCTGTCCAGCTTCCTTACCCATCCCTAAGGTCTCAGTTTAAATGCCATTTCTTCTGAGGGGTGTCTTCATTTTATACTCCTTTCTACTATCCTATACTTTTTCTTCATAGCACTTAACACAATTTGTAACTAACTGATACCCACACAAATAAATATATAGTGCCTCTTACTTGCTAGACTATAACCAAAAGCTCCCTGTTTCTTTTATCTAACACCTAGCCCAATGTCTGGCACAGCAAGCCTTAACACTCAATTTTTTTAAATATTCAAATAAATAAATAAATATTTTGTAAATTTGATGTAAATGAACAGCTGAGAGGCAACAATGGGATTCCATAAGACTTTATCATTTTGTGCAAAGACAATCTACTTCACTTCTCCCTACTGCCACTTACTGCCCATTTTAATTTCTGACTAGTCATTGTGGTGTACCCACCGTGGCAAGAATCATTCTTCATTTGGTTGGTTCCTCATGACTCTGTCAGGATTCCAACTTCTACAACATTTTCATCTTCCAGTTGTCTGTTCTTCAGCGGCCTTGGATGTCTTGCAGGGTACCCAGAATGCTCCTTAAAATTACAGATGACCATGTTCAACCGAATTGTCCTCATCATGGTATTTTTAATATTTTGAAATAGGAGAAGACTGCGATCACTATCCAAAAGCTCACACAAAATTGTAGACTTCATCATTTTAGTCATGTGGTACTTGTACTATGCCACCATCTTTAGGCATGGCCTGCCTTACCATATCATAGACCGAGGTTCTCTTCTTGGCCACAGTAGATTTTAAATGAAAAAGATATGAAACAACCTGGGTTAGGAAGGGCAAAAGAAAGGAAACTAACGTGTTGATCACATATTATGTACCAGATATTGTACAAATACATACTCTCGTTCAATCCTCACAACAACCCTGTGAGGTAGGTATTACCCCCATTTTACACATAAATGATCTCTTTTCAGACAATGTAGGTTGTCTCTTGAATTTTTCTATTAACATTAATTTCCATTTATTTACATTCATCTTCTCTATTATAGAGATTTTGCCAGCTATATACCAGAAAAGACTACTTCCACTCAATAAATATTTATTTAATAAAACAAGTTTCACAGTACATCAGTGGATGATTTAAAATTAGAATCTACCATCTTTCCATATCAGATCACATTCTTTTCTAGCCCTTGTTAAAGTCCATCTGAGCTACTGAGCCTTGATTGGTTTCCACATTTCCTGTTTATTACACACATATGCTCACACACAACATTTTCATCACTGATCTAACTTTGGCTCTCTAGGGTTAGTCCCCTTAGTCTTATAGGGACTAGGAATCTAGCTTGATGAACAAAACATGTTGAATGTTCTTAACCATGAAATGATTCCTCCAGCTTCTAATTAAAAGTTGTACAGCATTAGATAAAAGGGGATCATCTTTCTTGTATCTGTACTCAAGGGGAAACTCAGATGTTTTCCTTTATAGTTGTCTTCCAACCCTACTTGAAAGGACCAGGACTGAAGAACTTTATATCCCTCTGCCTTCTCTTGGTTCAAACCTATATTCCTGAGCAAATAGAATCTTGAATTTTCTTTCTTATCAACTCCTTTATTGGATTTCTGTTCCCAAATTCCCTGGACCTTTTAAGAGTCTAAATAAAAACATGGTTCTGGAGGAAACTAGCTGGGGGTGGGAGGAACCAGCTTATTTTTGCCATGCCCCAATAAACATTACAGATTTCTAAAATCTCATTTGCAATGACACTCCAACCCTTCTACCCAGCATCTTTAGGATTGGGACAGCGGAGATGAGCCTGACAGTACTTCTCATCTCAAAGGCATGCAGTGTGTAGAGCCTCCTCCAGCAATCTTCAGATTTCTAGGGAAATGTTTAAGGGAAGATCCAGGACCCATGTCCCATTTCTTCCTGTATGTCCCACTAAAAAGTCCATTCTTTGTTTTTGGAGGAATTGGTTCAAGAGTACAAAATCACCCATAAGTGTTTCTTGCCTGGAGGTCTTCAAAGGATGCTGTAGCTATAGGAGAGGCTCTCCACTCTGATACCGGCCACAGCTGCATATAGTTCGGGCACCACCAACTCTGGTACTTGCAAAACAGCCTTGTCATCTGCAGTTCTAGCAGCAGCTTCTAGGCGCAAGTGTAGCTCTTTGGGTGAGGGGCGGCTGTTCTCACTCCAGCGCCAGCAGGACTTCATGATACTATACCTGAGAGAGAAACAAGAGAAACTGACTTCCTTGACAAGGCAAATGTGTTAATAACATGTCTTCTCTCCCAACAGAACCTAATTTTTAAGAAAAAACAAAAAAACTGTAATTTGTTAATCTCCTCTTTACTCTGTCTCATGTTCTTCCCAGAAACTGATAAACTGATATTCTTTCTCCTCCTCTTTATATCAAGTCTCTTAATATCATCTTCTCAATGCGCACTTTTTTATAATAGGAATGATTTAAGATTTTTCAAACTACAAACAGTAAGACAGGACAGCTTTTTCACTATATATTGTTTACACTGTAAACAATGTACAATAAAGTAACAGGGCTAGGACTGAACACATATCTTTTTTACCCTAGACTTGAGGTGGAGGTTTTAATCATTCTACTGTATTGCTAAATATTTTATGTTGATTTTTCATGTTGTTTTAGATATCTCCTCATCAAAATGTTAAGTTCTTTAAGGTCAGGTACTTTGCCAGTTAAGTGTCTCCTTCAGTATCAAGAATAGCCTTTTACACATAGAAAGCCTGCAAGAAATATTTGTCAGCAATTTCATTTTAGTATATCCAGCCAGCATTACTATACTGTGTGTGTGTGTGTGCATGTGTGTGTGTATATATATACATATACATGAAACTACCTCAAAAAGTGTGTGGAAAAATAGAATTAAAAGATAGGGGCTGGCTGTTTATCTAAGTTGGTTAGAGTGAGGTGCTGATAACACCAAGGTCCAGGGGTTTGATCCCTGTACTGACCAGCCAACAAAAAGGAAAAAAAGAAAGCAAGATAATACAAATCTTTTCATGAACTTCTTTAAGTACCCTTGTATAGTTACGATACTTAAATTGTTATAATCTGCTTGACACTGTAACTGTTTATTGTAGAGAAAACCAAGTGCTAGAAGTTTACCCCTTCAATGCTGAAAATTTACAAAATGGCAACAGTTCTAATAGAAATGTTAATATATGTCTCTGCTGCCTTCTTATGCAAAAAATTTTACAAAATGGCAACAGTTCTAATAGAAATGTTAATATATGTCTCTGCTGCCTTCTTATGCAAAAAATTTTACAAAATGGCAACAGTTCTAATAGAAATGTTAATATATGTCTCTGCTGCCTTCTTATGCAAAAAATTTTACAAAATGGCAACAGTTCTAATAGAAATGTTAATATATGTCTCTGCTGCCTTCTTATGCAAAATTTAACCTATTCTTATGTTTCATAACAGTCCCTTTTTGAGCTTCATTGGTAATAAAATTCTGTATATCATTAAAATTTTTTCTACTTTCTGCCTCTAGGTTTGTTCACCAACTGTCCCTTTTTTGTGTGCTGAGAAATGGGAAAACAGAGTCAGTAATTTTTAAAAGTTAAATAAGAGCTGGTATACTCTGAATGAATAACTCTAGTGCAGTGGATTTTAGGACAGCTGTCTTTGAACTGAGGCTGGCAGAAGACTGACATTTAGACAAATAAAACCCTACTGTACTTGCATTGAGTTTGGTTTGCTTACTATATATTTTAGAAGCTTCTGGGGGAGTAAACTTTATCAAAATTAGATTCCTAATATAGTCATCAGTGGTTGCCTAAATATTGTATATGGAGGTGTTTGTGTATGTATATGTGTGTATATATGATATGTATGCATATATGGTATATGAGTTTCACGGGTTTGGTCTATAGATGTACATTAGCACATATGATCAGTTGAACATCATGTGAGCCACTTTGAAAAGGGCATGACTAATAGGGAGCAAAGAAGATTTGGAGTGAAAGAAGAGCAGACCTTTAAAAGCCACTTACATAGTGTGTGTGCAACTGCTGGGTCTCTTCATTATTTTCCTTCTCTGGAGATGCTGTAGGATGTTGGCAGGAGGGACTTCAGGATATGGTGGTGCCCCTGACAGTATGGAAACAATGAGAGTAGCAAGAGTACTTTAGGTCGTCTAACAATATGAACTTTAACTAACACTATTTTCCATCCACTTAGGTTAATTGTGTGAAAAAGATACAGCTATAGAAAAAATACTAGATAAAATATAGTTGCTGCCTGCTGATCAATTAAGGATATAGATTAGTGAATTTTGAGATAAGGTCTTTTGGAGGAAAAGGACTGACAAGTTAGGAGAATCTTGAGTCTTTAGGAAAGTAATAAAATAAGGCAAAGTAAAAAATAAGATCTTTCCTCCACTCCCTATAACATGGGGAGGTGCTACAGTCTCTCAATCAAATGGATTAATAAGTCTGAAGAAAACATTTTTATGTTTATACAAGATCACTCTGGAAATCATCCTTGAGATTTGAAGACATCCCTTGGAATTGGTAATTTTTTGGGAAAGGAAAGAGGAAGAGAGCAAAAAGAAGGGAATCATCCATCACTTTACAACTCTATTTCGGGAATCAGGCTTGGATTGTATGTCAGCCCAGTTCAAACTTCAGAGCTGTACTGAAACCCTTTCTCAAAGCATACATCATCCAGCACCCAAATAAACACACCTGCATGTATGCATACAGGTGCACACTACTTTAGGGATCATCCTTACCTAGAGTCACCATCTCATAGAGAAGGATCCCAAAGGACCAGCTGTAAAAGAAACAAAACCATCTACTTAATTTCTATTTCTGCCTTTCCCAAAGAGAGCTCACTTAAATATCAGAAGCCTTCAGTAAGAAGCCCATAAAGACAGCGACAAAGGATAATCAAGGGTAAGTGTCTGATGAAACAAGCAAAGTAACAGTGCCATTAAAAAGCATTTCTATTCAATCTCCTTAGATGCTCATCTCTTTAAGGACTGGGTCTATGTCTCTTTTCTTCTGTATTTCAAATTAATAGATGTTTAAAAATATTTGTTAATGTGTGTGTGTGTGCAATCACACAAACAAATTCTAAACATAAAGACATTTCCCACTGCTTCTTTTTCATCCCTTCCATTCCTTTCTGCTAAAATTCCAGCCATTATTCTTAGCACAAGGCCAAGTGAGGTTTATCATTTGTCCACTATTTTCTCAGTAGATCTAACTACTAAACCTAGGAAAAATATCAGTAGAGTAAGCTTTATGCAAAACAGGCATAGACACCAGGGTATTTCAGAAAGTGTGTGGAAAAACAGAATTAAAAGATAATATGAATCTTTCCATGAACTTTTTGAAGTACCCTTGTGTTTGCCTTCACAATATGACTTGAGAGATGAATATTTCGCCATTCTGTAATATCATTAAATGTGTAATATTTTACAGTTAAGATTATTACCCCCAGATCTCTACTGAAAAGCAGACATCAGTGAAGCAGCAATGAAAGGTTCTTAACTGACTCACCATATTAACTGATGTTCCAAATTTCCTCTGCTGCTCATGATATTCATGACTAGTAGGATGTCCTACATTACATCTATGCGCTTCTCCAAGTAGTTTGCATTATATAGTTACCAAAAGTCAATTGTGATTTTTTACATTCCAGTTTATATCAATTGTACATGTAACTGAAATTATATATAAATGTGTAATCAATTAAATATTATATAAGCTGATTAAATAGAAGTGGATAAAAGTTGCAAACTAAGTTGAATGCTTTAAAAGTAGTCCATAAAAATATTTTGGTAAAAAGAAAGTGTTGTTGCACAGAAAATTGGGAAAAATAACAACAAAAGTCTGCAATCAAATTGTTTTCAAGTTTCTCACTCCATTAAGAATCATCCTAACCTGGAACTCAAAAATAAGTCATTACTGATGCTATTTATACAAGAAATATAACATATAATATCATTTAGGAGGCCCATCTTCATAAAAAGAAGCCTTGCTGCTCCTCCAAAACATTGATATTTATATGTTCTATATATATCCACTTATATGGTTTAGGCTAAATTATTTGAGATATGTATATTTCTTTTAATTTTAAAAATCCCTGGTTTGACTGGCCTTTTGATTAAATGGACCCACTTCCTTCAGATAAAAGAGATTCTACTAGATTAAGTCCTCAGATATTGAGGTGAATAATCATTTTTTTTTCTTTCCTAATTCAAGCTGCTAATATAATATAGAAGGAATACTTGAAAAGGCACTGAAAAGGATTGCAGCCAGATCTAGATTAAGTCCTCAGATATTGAGGTGAATAATCATTTTTTTTTCTTTCCTAATTAAAGCTGCTAATATAATATAGAAGGAATACTTGAAAAGGCACTGAAAAGGATTGCAGCCAGATACCAAACATGAACTATGTCACATAACATTTCTGCCTGAGAGCATGTCTAACTTCTAAGTAGAGATTTCATCTGTAGACATAATTGGCAACAGACCCAATTATGTTCAGGGAGGACACCCAGGTGATGAAAGGAAGAAATCCGAACAACAGGAACAAACCGTACATATCTCCTCTGATGCCAGCAGGTCTCAGGAGAAGCCGTTCTGGGGCAAGCCACTTGAGGGGTATGGTTTGAGTAGAGGAGATGACCCCTAGAGTGTGAGTTTCATAAGCCAGGCCCAGTCCACAGAGCTTAGCAGTAAGATCACTTTGGAGCAGGATATTTCTGGCTGCGATGTCCCCATGGAACAGATGCTTATCCTGCAGGAATTCCTGTCAACATACGATCAAAGATGATCAGCTGTCTGAGGTCAAGGCTTGGGTCACAGACAAAAACAGTCCTAGGAATCCTAAAAAAGGCTAGAACATTTTCTACTCTGAAAAAGTCTCATTAATAATGACATATCACTTCCAAAGCATGCTAATGTATCAGACATTTTTGCATCATGTTTAGGATTAACAAACTGAGCAGGTGATCCAAATGACATCAATACTGGATTTTAAAAGTATAATGACCTACTCTGTGTCAAACCCTGACCCCTTCTTGATTTCACTTTCCTCTCAGACAGGACCCAGCTAGACTTTGGAAAGGGGAGTCGGTTCCAAGTTTCTAATAGCAGTCCTCAAAATGAGGTAATAAATACACAGCAAAATTGAGTATTGTAATAACAAATTGATATAAAGTTTTACATCTTCTCATTTTGTCCCTAAGGTAACTGAATGAGGTGAATTAGGAAACTATCTTTTAGATAAATCTAAATGATTACACAAGGCTACACAGTAATTGAGTAGTAGTGACCAGAACCAGATATTCTAATTCATAGGAAGTACTTCAAAAACTCTAGTAATAATTTTCAAACCAGGCTGCAAATCAGAATTGCCTGAGAATTTTTTTAAAATGTATGATTTTCACCCAAGATTTACTAAGCCAAAATCTAGGAAGAGAAACCTGGTAACCTATATTTTAAAGAAGTGTTGAAGTGATTCTAGTGCAGACAACAAAGCACTTGAGAACCACTGCACCCAATGACATTGATTTGCTGAAGTCGTTTTCTCCAGCATCAAGCTATTCAAGGCATATGGAGAAGCTGAAAAGCTATACATGACTAAAGAGCTGGAAATTAAGGCTATAATTGCTCAAAATGGATGCTATGAAAAATTAAAAGTTTAAGTAGATAATTTCCAATCATAGATGGTGAAGGAAACAGTCATTATCAGTTTTCTGTCTCTGGTGAGGTTGTAGAACAAAGATATTATACTCTAATGAGAAGAATTAAAGAATGTACCGACTTCGAGGTTGTTAAAAGTAAGAAAAAATAGTATCATATTGTTTTGTAACAGATAATGCAGGGCCTTGATGAATGGATCAGTTTGATCCATTCATCCCTATAGGGCATCTTGACAATAACGGCTCGGAATACAAGCTAGGCTATATCTTGACACCCTAGCTTTATCAAAGGAACACTCAACACCATAGAGGTACTCCACTCCGAACACCACAGATAATATTCATTTATGTTAAAGGTTCTTTGCCTTGTCCCACGGGAGCTTCAGCTGTACATACTGCTCTTTTCTCACTTCACTACCTCCTTTTTTCTAAGCTTTTCCTGATTCCACTTAGATCCCTGGTATATTTCACACCTCTCGGTAGCGAGATATATCAAATACTTAAAATAGTAGCTTCATAGAGCCCTGATTTTCTATAGCAAATGCTAATTTTAAACACAGTTATCTAAATAATTTCATAGAAATCATCATCTAAATTTCCTGAGTAATTCTCATAAAGGTATTTTTTTTTTAAAAAAACCCTGAGTTCTTTATCCTAGCTTTTCATTTAAGTTGGTTAAATTAAGGAATGATCCTACTGTTGCCCCTTCTCATTCCTCCTCTTCCACTTGTATCACATTCAGTATCATGCAAGTGTCCAGCAGAACATGTTCTGAACTAGTTTTTCTTTTTTCCAGGTATAAAGTTTTATACTTCCTTTTGGTTATGCAGCCTTTTTCACATTTAGTTTCTCTTCCTATATCTTCTCCCAACTTGCTTCCCCATTTGCTCCTTTTACATCTATTATTATTAGTATACATGAGAAGTAAGAATATCAAGTAAATGAACATACAGCTTTTGGCCCTGGAATTTGATCCTTAAGACTGAGAAATCTTTTAAAATCCTCCTTTTTTCTTCTAAAAACCCTAAGTTGACTACTTTCTGCCTGGATTTACCAATCCTATAGTATATTATCTAAGTGATTTCATGAAGAAGGGGCTAAAAACAATTTATCAGTGCTTCAGTTTCTGCCCCCTAACTTCTATCTAAATTTCTTTAAAATATATATCCTGTCTGGGAATACAAATATGGGAAATATGGCATCAAATACCAGGCTAACAAGAAAAATCCCCACCATCCGTTGTCATTTTGCCTTGTCTTACCAAAGCCAAAAGGACCTGCTTTCCGATGTGATATACTTGTTTTTCCGTGAGATCGTAGAGAAGACCATCCATGGTCATCACATCCTAAAGAGACAGAGAAAAACAAAAAGTATTAACAGATATCCAAGAAAAAATTATCGCAGAAATATTCTGACATGCAGATATCAAAGCTAATGAAAATATACAAAAATATAGGAACTAAGATTCAGAGAGAGACTGATATAAGAGATTTTCAGATACGCAAAGAAGTAGAATGATTTATTATCCACTGAATAAAGCAGCAATTTTTCTGGAGCTGTGTGTGTTTGTATGTGTGTGTGTGTGATTTATTTAGCACATTAGTTCAGTACATCTTTATTGCATGCCTACAATGTGCCAGATTCTATGTTAGGAACTCACAACACAAGAATGAGAAAAATAAAGTGGTTGCTGTCTCCTGGAGCTTATTGTGTGGCAGGCATGTGGGACTGAGAATCAAATAATTGTACATAAATAAATGCCATGAAGGAAATATACACAGTGCTAAGAGAACATGTGATAGTGGGAAGAGGTGAACTGATTCAGTTGGAGGGACAGGGACGGTTTTTGATGGTATCTGAAAGATGAGTGGACATTAAGTATGCAGAGAAGAGAAAGGAGAAGTTTGGTGTAACCAAAAAATGTATGAACATGATCTGAAATAGAGAACCAGGATATTTTTGAAAAATGGAAAGAAGCTAGTGCCGCTGGGGCTTACAGATGGATAAACTCTTAAAAGGGTTTAAAATGCCTAAAAACTTGCACATTGTCCTATTTACATCACTGGATGGAAGACATTAATGGGGTCCCTTATGTTCAGTTGTGCAATAATCAGCATATCGAGGAGACTCAATTAATATTGAACTTGTGCATGAGCAAGTGAGAATCTAGGAAACAGCACATCAGAAAGAAGAATATATAAATAAAGAGCTAGGGAAATTGTAAGGAAAAGTATTCCATTGGAGTCTGAAAACTTTTGAACATTTTAATTTTTAAAAATATGAGTTTGAGATCCAAAAACTTACTAGCTGAATTTCCCCCAAGTCAGCCCTGGCATAACACAGTGATGTTACAGATGGGAAACACACTTAACAACAACAACAACAACAAATTACAATTTTTACTAACAGTAGTTACACTGTTATATAATTATCATCATAACAGCTACCATTATGAGTGCTTGCTATGTACCAATCACTGCTATTTTTTTTACATACGTCATTTATCTTATCTTTTATAATAATTTATTATTACTCTCATTTAAAAGATTCCAAAAATTCAGGATCAGAGAAGTGACTTGCCTAAAGTCACACAGCTAGTAGGAACTGGAGTCTAAAGTCCACACACTAAACTTGCACTGTACAATATGGTAGCCATTAGCCACACGTGGCTATTTAATCTTACATTATTTAAAATGAAATGAAATTAAAAATTCAATTTCTTGGTCACACCAGCTACATTTCAAGTGTTTAATAGTGACATGAGATTAATGGCTACCATATTGGATAGAAAAGATAAAGAACATTTTTATCATTACAAAAATTTCTATTGGATGGTGATACTTAAGTACTCGGTTATGCTATTATAATGTCTCTGTATTTTGTCATTTATCATGCTAGTTGACATGGTAACAGCTAATCAATCAGGTTAATCCTTTTTCTCCTAACACTTCTACCCTACTGCTCACCCGACGACAGGTCCAGAGAAAGCTGAGCAGGTCCCCCTGGGCTACATCCTCCAACACCATATAGAGTGGCAGCTTTTCTGTGCAGCAGCCTTCCAGCTGTACCAGGTTCTTGTGTTTCCCCAGGTACTGATAGAATTGGATTCGCCCTAAGAAATCCTGTACCTCATGCAGCCCGACTGGTTCTGTGGAGGACAAAAGAGCCAGGGTAGTGAGCAGTCCTAGTATCAACAGTAAAGTGGGAGCCATGGAGCAGGAAGCAACTTCAGACAGCAATTCTCAGGGCCCCCCAGGGGAGTGAGTGTAGACAAAAAGTAAACAGAAAGGGGACCAATTAGAAGATGAAGCTCAACATCATTGATCTTTTATCAAAGGTAACATAGAGTCATAGGTCTTTGAATTTGATGGCCTTTCATCTGCATAAATAGACAAATGTTCTGTTTACTTTAAACCATGATGACTTGCTAGGGCTTTCAATTAATATTCTTACTTACCTTATCCTTGTTCTGTTTTATGTATCCACCATTACTGACCCATATCATTCCCAAAAAAAAAAAAAAAAAAAGAGAGAGAGAGGGAGAAATACAGTGTCAGGAAAGGGTATTAAGTAGTGAAGAAAAGAATGAACCTCAGAATTCTGAGTAACATACAATATGGAAAAGATCAGATCTAGTAGCCTTAACAGGCATGAATGAGCAAGAGAAAGAAAGACCCCAACAGGAACATTTCTGTCTCAGACTTCTACCGTCTATTCCTTTCTTCCTGTGTGCACAATGATGATCACAACTATCTGTGGATGAACATCTTCATGTTTGCAAAGCCTGTCAGGAACTCACAGTAGAAAAGTAAAAAGGGGAAAGGAAGTCTAACACTTCTCATTTTACCTTTTAAAACCTTGACGACAACACTCTTCGGCTTAGCGGGGTCGCTAGTATTCATTTTGGCTCGATAGATGGCTCCGCAACTACCATTGTGGATCTGTTCCAGAACTTCAGAGAGTTGCTCTCGGGGCACCTGTAGCTT